GAGGGTAAACCTTTTTATTTTGGTTTTAGATGATTACACTTCATTTTTATGCTTTGCTCCATCACTGCACTAGTTCCAGTAAGAGAGTGTGTGTGCAAGGTAGAAGAAAGCAAAGAACATGTCAAGAAGAATGAGAGCATGCTGAATAAAGAACTCCATTAGCTGGAGACATTTCTAGCGCTTATGTAAAAGCTGCCTTCATTAAAGCTAACATGTCAACACTGCAGCAAGCAGAGGTAAATGAGCATAAAGGAAATCCAGATAACCATGTTTCATATATCAGCCCAGTATACTTTAGCCCTCTCCTCCATTAACTCCACCTCAGTGTTTGCCTCTGGCTGACTGCTCCTTGACAGTGTAGATACAGAACACAGATCAAGGTTCCAAAACACTTTTCCACGTGTTCTTCACTAGTTTCTAGCCCCATTTTTCTTATAAAGAAGCAACAAGTTCACTAACTGCAAACTACCTGCTAGGCAGCAAATCAACTTGAAAGTGTTTTATATTTCTAATATTTCATTAAGTGATTAAAATAAATGGTTCAAATCCAAGGCCAGACTGACAATGTGGGATTTCAGTGAATGCATTTCATGATACTTTGAAGCAACTTAACCCAAACTGATTCAGCTTAATCCTTTAGACATCCAGTGTTTGCCCTAGAACATAAACCCCACAACATTATGTGCTTACAAGAAAAAGTAATAGTTTAAAAAAATCACTGGCTTCTCTGTATCTAAGAAAATTAAGAGAAGCACAAGCATTTAATTAATCTCTCAGATGCCTAATAATTTCACTTTCCAGTCAGAAGATTCACTCCACAATTAACATTGCAACTAGTTTCCACTACAGAAATCTCACCTAAGCCTTTCTATATTGTGTTTTTATCAGACAACATAAGAGTGCCAGCAGATTCATTCACACAAAAGAAAATGCCTTTTAAGAACCTGAAATGTGTGAAAGTTTCAGTTATAGCTAGTTAAAAAGGTATATGTGTGATTAACTTCTCTGCTCACTGCTATTATGATCTTCCCACTCCAGGGGTGGGGGAGAAGGAAGAAAGAAAAAAAAAAGAAGGAAAAAAAAGAGAGAAATACTAGTCTTACTTCCTCACTTATGCTTAAACAACACTTAATTAAGTAGAATACACTTTAACAAGCCATCTCTGAACCACAGGGTTCATACGCAGCAGAACATGAATCAAAGCAATGTGAAGCTGCAGTAAATTACATGACAGTAAGTTTGTCTGCCACAGCATAAGAATAAAAAAATTGAGGGTGAGAGAAGACAGGGGGTTAAGACAGGGAAGAGAGAAGGGGAAGCAGTAACATATTTTGTATCAGCACTTTTCTGAATGTGTCTTTCTCTCGATATTGTTTGATGCAATTGTCATTTTCTCTGAATGTTGTTAAGCTCTCTTCTCTCCTGAGGATGTCAGTCCCAGCAGAGCAAGGAGAATGCAATTAGAGCTAGCTATAAACCTGCCGGGTAACTCTCTTCTAAGTGTTCATTAGATGAAGATAGATCTGCCCTTTTAATTCAAAGACGTTGCATACTAAGTACAAGTTAATAACTACTTAGGACTTCAATCCCTGACAGAGTTACATATGCAGGCTACTGTCTCTGAGAAGAGATAAAGACACGGAGAGAAAAAACAGCCATCAAGTTAATCATGACCAAAAATCATTACCATCTAAGACTGAGTGTCTGATGAAGTTTGTTTCAGGACCATTTGACATAGTTATTCATTGTGTCCATGAATATATTAGAGCTGAAGAAAACGCTGACATGTAGACACTGTACCCCCAGACATGTCACCACAGCTGTACACATTTTCATGCAGAGGACCTAGTTCCTGTTTCTGTCAGTCTTTGCTGTAGAATTCAAAACAGCAAATTAAAATTGGTTGAGGACAACCAATTGCACACATGAACTTCCACAACACAGGGTGAGACCAGTCTGTCAGTGCCATGATGCAGAGAACAGACACAACCTTCTGCCTTCTGCATACCCTGCTAGGATCTTCTACAAATCTGCAGTTCAGTATTCCTGGCAGTGACACTGCCCACGGGCAGGTCAAACCCCACCTTAAAAGCATGCAAGAGACATCCCTGCAGCAGCCTTTCAAGCACAGACCTCCTGCTTTGCAAAGATTTCTCTGGGGATGGCCATGTCTGATTCATCCTTTGCAATACATTTCCCTTTCCTCCAAATGTAGACTGGGACTTCAGCTATGCCATGAAACTTTTTGTTTGCTTTATATTTGAAAAGCCTTTTGTAGGAATTTGATTCTCCTAGAATCATGGAAAGTTGCACACCCTAATGCTGCATAAGACAACCTTCAATTATCTCCTGAGCCCAAATTTTCTAATGTCTTTTCACATCAACTTTAGGTCCCAGCCACCTACATTTCTTCAGAAAATTGCCCTTCTTCATAACAGGAGAACATATTGCGAATCACTCTTGAATGCATCTTGCCTTGGTTTGTAACAAACTGAGGTACTTTGAACTAGTCACCGTCTGAAGTAATGCGCTTGCAGCTGACAGAAACAAAGCAATAAGACCAGGAACTATCCAAAGGTACAGTTATCTTGCTTGGAATTATCCTTTACCTACATTGTTGGAAAATGATGCTACCAGTGCTGCACCGGGCCCTATTCACTCAGTGCATTCAATGAAAGCATAAGAGTCCATCTGGGCACAGCTCATTGCAGAAACACCACCAAGTATAAGCTGGATCCTATAATCAAGTTTAATTAGAATCACTGGGACTTAGCAAAGGTGTACAAATCGATCATGTTGATCCACTTGTAGGCTCACAGCCTTAATGTAAAGACATAAAGCATGGTTATTACTTCAAATAATCCAAGCTGATCTTCTTACAGCTGGTTCTGCACAGGTAGGGCTTTCCTCTCCACAAGGTTCCAGAGACATTAACTGGCATACAGTAATTTTTCCTTGTAAGAGAAGGATGGAAAACAAAAACAGGAAGCAATAACAGGAATGAACCTCCTTACCCTGGAGCACTCTTTTCTCACTGACTTCAAGTCTTCCCAAGGTCCAGAATTAATAAAACAGATAGTAAGATAAATTTTTTTGCACTCCACTCCTCGTAACATCTGCCTACTTGGCTGGGTGATTATTATATGCCTACACCTAGCCCTGGGTAATAGTATGTAAACACAGAAGACAAATTTTAAGTAGAACGTGTGCAGCAATTACTAGAAGGGTTATGATTACATCACGGAAATCCACTCAAAAGTTGTAAGATTAGCTGTGTAATTAAAAGAGTAATGAATAGTTTAAGAATACACAAAATTTGCAAGCAGCGTGAGAGCTAAATAAACTTACGTAGTCATTTCAGTTTTCTGTTTATGACATGTCATCAGCTTGTGCTCGTCACTGTCAGTGGTTCATCAGTAAGAGCTTCAGAGAGTTCCCATGCTCTCTCAGGAGCCTTTTCTTACATGGAATTCCCTTTGAGAAATCTGAGTGAAAGGGAGGGAATTAACATCTTAAAAGTACTATGGAAGAAGTGAGTTTTCAAAAAAGGAAAATTATCCACACTTTTGACTTTTTTTTTTCAATTTTTTTATTTTCTCCTTTTGGCATTTTCTTTAGTAAACACCAGTAAGTTGTTGGTCTAAAAAAGATTATTATAATAATTTATTTTTTAACTCAAAGTTTAACATGACCTAGACATATTTATTTCTAAATCTATGGTGAGATGTATTATTGGAAGCTTTACAAAACAAAGATTTCTCCTACATTGTCACAATTTTTTAAGAAGCAAGATGGAAAGTACTGTTCTTCATTAATATACTATTTTTTCAACATCTCCAGGACGAAGCAAGCAAACAAAGAAGGCAAAGATGTATACATTCTCCCATCTCTTTTTTCCTGTGCCTTATAGTTCCAGGATTTCATAAGATTTTCAAACCTAGACAAGAGTACAGTACTACAAGCGTAATACTGCTATGTCTGGAAGTCAGGGACAACAAATGGCTGCATTATTAAAAATCTGTTGTGGTGGTATTGGGTTTTTCTTAAACTAATGTTAGGGCTACACTACTTTTACATAGTTTTCTTTATTCCTAAGTGAAAGAATTTAAATACTATCCCAAAGTAGACTTGAACTGTGAATTTTAGCATTACTACTTCGCGAGACAAGGATTTCCTTTAACAGGTATTAATATTACTTGCAAAATTAAATAACCTTTACCCCATCCCATTAAAAAAGGCCCCTAATTCCTAGAGTTCCTTCTGGGCCTAAAAAGGTGGTGGCCTGGCCTAGAATTGCTCTGCCCCCACTCATCTACTAAGAGTATCTGCAGAATTGTATCCGATTTCCTCCTTCCCAAGAGTTTCACTTAGCCCATACCCCAGCACATCTCTACATTGTTGTTCCTCTAGACTTACATCACTAATTTAAACAAGTAAAATTAACCAGAAGCTTAAATAAAAAATTACTTTTTTCCTCGTAGAGTTTTGCCAGTAGTAAGTACAATAATATAATTAACTCCTATCTGGTGTTCTTCACATCTCAGTCCTCATTTCTATATGCATCACCAATTGAAAGAAAGTTCTTCCTTAGGTGGTATATTGGACTAGTTAGAACTATTCTAAAAAATACTCTACATTTTGCTTACAGTACCCTGCACATTCCTCCAAGAGTTCTGTGCTATGCTCAAGGGCTCACAAGGCGTGTTTTGCACAAGGAACACTGAAATCTCAGCTATTCACTTTTCCAGGTCTTTGGGACAAAGACTTTAATAACAAAACCTGAAGGAAAGGAACAATTAAAGGCCTCTGTCAGTTGTATTGGCATCCCTTTCATTCAGTTTGCTTTTCCAGCATGCTAATTGAGTGCAGGAATGAGCTAACATAATAAGGGCTGAAGAAACAGCATTCAGATAGTTTAAGGCACAGACCAAACTGAGGATTCCAAATAATGTTAAATTCTTAGACTTACATACTTAACTGCCTTCTGTTTTGGGACTCACTCAAAATGTTCCCTCTTGCTCAGTAATTCACTGTCACAGTACTTAAATGCAGAGCTACAGTTGTCCACAGCTGCCTTGTGCTTTCCAGACTCTGAAGGAAGAATGATTAAGTATCAGAGATTCAGCTAAAACAATGTTGTTTTATCAACCAGTTTCTCTTTTGATTCCTGTGCCATTACACCTCCATCAAAGAATCTAGGACTTTGTCTTTCCAAGTTGCATAAATAACATCAGGAATACAAAAAAAGATTACAGGCCTTGTCTTGAGAAGGGTAATAATATATTCTAGGCTACACTCAATAGGCAGGCTAGGTTAAGCATGAACCAAAGACAGCTGCCTGTGTTTAGAGAGAATCTCAAGCTTCACTACTTTTGCTGACACCCACTCATACATCTATGAGTTTTCTTTGGGGCACAATCTGTGTTTCTCTCTGACCATGCCTTATAAAATATGTGTGCAAGCACATTGATCCTCCTCCTTTGCAATGGGAGCAGGCCAGGAGATGAGCTGTAGTAATGGATCACATACGCACTGACAAGTGTACCAAGACACTTTTAACGCAGTCATTTCTGTGATTAATTCTTTATATCCTGCACCATCTATTCTCCAAACGAGTTCAAATGAAGTTTAAATACAGTTTGGAATCATTCTGTCAGGCTCAAGATGTCTTTCCCCACCAACCCCCATCACCTAGTCCTGCAATTTGCCCAAAACCACACTCTGCTCTACAAGTAAAGCCATTTCATGGCTTTTGACACATGACCACTAAAATAAGACTACTTCATACCACTGACACTGAAGCTGTGCTGGCACAAATTTTAGGGGATAGTATTCTTTGTAGAATAGTGACTTTTAGACAATCAGCATGTAGTTTTCTTCCTGAGCCTGTAGATGCCTGGCTACACAGAACAGAAGTTAAGCCACTGGCTTTATGTGAACTAAGTCTGTGTGTAGGTTTACATATGTGGAAGATTATAAACTATATGAAACAGCTACATAGGTTTACGTACGTGAAAAAGTGTCACTTCAGTAAAAATGTGCATTGATATTGTAGAACTGTCTTAGTATTGCTTTTATGTGAAATTACCTGTGTGCATAAGTTCATAAACTTCTGTACTGCAGCACAGTACTTCAGATTGTCAGGTTTGTTTGGTGCTCAACAGTGGAAGTATAAGCACCCTTAAAATGCTTCAAATTTGCTAGGAACAGTAGTGATAATTTAATGTTTACTTCTCCCATTCCCTTTTTCCTCAAAAACCCCGAAACAAACCAACCCAACTTTAACTCGAAGTTCTAGAGCAAACAGACTACTATTGGCCTGCATCCATACAGACATGCAGCAGCATAAACAGCACAACTGCTGATCCTTGCATGAGGGTGAATCTGCTGAAAATGCCTCAGCTTATGTGAGTTTATGAGTCTGCATAGATTTAAAAAAAAAAAAAAAAACACGACAGATATAATTGCTTCCACAGAGCATTTTGCACGAGCCCAATTATCCTAATGTAACATCCAACATTAGGGTGGAATGAGAATGCACGTGTGTGGACTGGACAACAGAAAGCATGTTTATGGACAGGTGCAAAAACCCAACACTCGAGAGAGGCAGGAAGCTTAGAATAAATGGTTGTGTCACATGCTGCCACGAGGGAAGAGAAACCATTTCCTCCCAGACACCCAAACTGCCTTTGAAGCTCTCAGCAGCTCAATACTCCACAAATTGACTGAACGGCGCCAGCCCCCCGAAAAACTCACCAATCACCCCCAGTACAAACGTTTAGCTCTTTAAACTATTAAAAATGGCATTTAGAGCCCCCACTCACCACAACCTCCCGGGCCACTGCTCCAGGTCCCCAGGGCGGCAGGTGGCTGCCCTCTCTCCAGGCGCTTGAGACAAGCGTGACCTCTCCTTCCTGAGCTACCTGCCTTCGCTAACCCACAAACCGAGGGCTTCACCTGCCTCCTGGGCCTAGGGGAGCCGAGCCCCTGCAGCCCCCAACACCAGGGATGTGCCACACGCAAGCCCCCCCACCTCCATCCCCGCCACCACTGGAAGAATTCACAGGATTTTCCAACACTGGAGCTTAACGGAGGGGGAAGCGGCACCGGCGGAGTGTGGAAGGAGGGAGGGAGGCGGCGAGGCGGCCGCGGGGCTGCGGAGGGGGAGCGGGCAGAGGGGCCTGAGGGGCCCGTGAGGGCTGAGGGGGCTCGCGCCGCGGAGCCCGCGCGGGGTGTCACGCGGGGGTGTCGAGCGGGGGTCGCGCGCAGCCCGCCACCCGCGAGCGGGGCCGCTCTGCCTCCCCGCGCCGTCACGTGCCGGCGGGAGCCGCAAAGCAGCGGCGGCGTTTGCGACGGGGTGACAGCCAAATGGTGCGACACCGGCGGCGGCCGCAGGCGCAGCAGCCGCGGCGCTGCCAGGGCCGAGCGCCGCGCCCGGGCGGGGAGCGCACGGCGGGCACCGCGATCCGCCCCGCACACCCCTCCACTCCGCCCGAACGCACCGCGGGCACAGCCCCGCGCCCCGGACACCGCTCCGCTCCGCTCCGCCGGGAACGCACCGGGGGCAGAGCCCCGGACACCGCACCCCGGGCATCGCACCGCGCCCCCGCGCCCGGCGCAACCCCCATGAGAACAGAGCGGGCGGCGGCCGCCCCCCGCGCACCCCCGCCCGCCCGTCCGCCTGAGCACGGAGCGCTCCCCCCGCCCCCGATGCGCCCTTAGTCCCGGCCCCGGACCCGCCTCCCGCGCTCCCCTCCCCGCCGGCGGCGGCGGCAGCAGCAGCGCTCAGGTGCGGACTTCAAACCCCGGCGCAATGGCGTCCAACGCGGCCGAGAGGGAGATCCTCTTTACTGAGATACAGGTAAGCGGTGAGGGGCGCCCCGGGGGCACCGCCCCGGCCCCGCTCCCCTCCCTCCCTGCCGGGGAGCCCAGAGCAGCCGCCGCGCCCCGCCGCCCCCTGCCCGCTGCTCGGCGCGGGACGCCCCCCCCCCGCACCCACACCCAGCCCGGGCCGGGGGGGCGGTGGCGGAAGCCCATGCCCACCCCAGGCCTCTTCCCGCCGCTCTCCCCCGGGAGCGGAGGCGCCGCCGCCCGGTCACGGCCCCACCCCGCCGCCGGCCGCGACCCGCTTTTGTCTGCGCTCGGATCCCTCCTAACCCGCCGAGCGGCCGCGTCCCTCCGGCGGGGCCGGCCTGGGCCGCGCCCCCCACCCCGGCAGCGCCCCGAGCCCGCCCCGCGCCTGCCCGCAGCCGCTGCGGGGCCCGGAGCTCTCGCCCTCCCCGCCGCCCGGGCGCGGAGCTGGTCCGGGCCCCGCCGAGCGCGCCCGGGGCCACCCCGCCGGCCGCGTCAGGGTCAGGCAAGAGCCTCCTCTGCCCTGGACATGGCACCACGCAGCAGCCGCGGCTGCTTCCTTCTTGTAGGCCTTGAACGCCGAACCCGGGAAGAGGAGAAAATGGTGCGAACAGCCTTATTTGTCCCACCGCGAGGGTTCTTGTCACTACATAGAAATAACTCTAAACAACCCGCAACAGTGTTAGAGGTCCTGAAGACTCGAGGGTTGGACCTTTTCATCCCTATTCTTTGACCACTTTTGGTTGCCCGTGCAAGTGTATCTTTTCTGCTTGTCAGCTTCAGGGTTAGCAGGGTTAGATACAATTCGGGAGTTTCACTTTTGTGTTCTTATCTTTAAATGTCAGCTCAACCTGCTACCTCTTAAGCTTCCTTGTCCCGAAGAAAGTTTGCTTTCCTTTTTTTTTAATATGCATCGTTAAGTCTATGTAAGTTATGTTTAACCAGGCAAAAAACGTGTCTCTGAATTTATTAGAGAGACAGTTAACCAAAATAAGAAGACCATAAATGGAAAGTACCGAATTTAATGCTCAAAAAAAAATTAGAAAGGCATGTTTTGAAAAGAAGAAATTTTATTTCCCAATGCTGTTAAATTCTCCTGTAATTTTGAATGTTAGTGATGTGCTCACTTGAGTAACAAAGGAAAAGAAGGCACAACAGAGACGTAGCAGTCTGCTTAATATTGTAGCACGTGAGATGGCTGAAGGCTAAGAATCCATCTAAAATGCTGAACTTTAATCAGTGGCTCATAAGTGCCTAGGAAGAATCACTATGTTAATACAAACTTGATACGATGATGTATAAGCTGGTAAACCTGTTTGAAGTGGTGAGCTGTGTGAATAGCTGACTGTGGTAGTGTTACAGGTAAGATAAATGGAAGGAACGTTTCTGTAGAAGTACCGGGAGTGGGGTTCACATTACTTTAAACAGAAATGAGTGAAGTATTTTGGGAATGAGGAGGTCTTGTTTTTTTTGTTTTGTTGATTTTTTCTTCTTGAACGATGAGGCTGATGGTGATACTTAAAATTTAAAAAAAAAAAAAAAAAAAAAAAAAAAAAAAAAAAAAAAAAAAAAAAAAAAACAAACACAGAAAATATATGTAAACATAATATTAAAAAAAATTAATTTTTTTAAGAACCAGAACACAACTACAAAACAAAAATAAGTCCATGATGGATTAGATTCTTTGGTTGCACTGTCTCTTCCATTATATGTTCTAACTTCTGTATTGATAAATACAGTTCCTCGGGCAGGACAGAAAGGTAAGAAGTTAACACGGGAATCCCAGTGGGGGTTAAGCTTCGTGAATTGCTTTTAGGTATTTTTAAGAGGAACTTCTGTATTAGAAGGAAACATTGTAAAGATGCTGTTTTGTTCGTGGTGGTGTATATTAGCAGTGAGATGTGAAGGCATCAGTATAACTGTACTTGGTAATACTTCAAAACAAATTACTCTTCATATACCTGTACATAAAAGTTGGTTTAATGATATGGCCCAAAAAGAAAGGGAACTGCTGTGAAGTGTGAGATACGCCATTTCGCTCATATTTCTTCAGGAGGGAACTTCCTCAATCTAAAGAACTCTGACTTAAAAAGTGCTTATATGCAAAATGGGCTTTTGCTTGCATATTGCAATCCTGTGCAGAAAGATGAGGAAGTCGTAGAATGCATGGCTACAGAAAAGGTTAAAAGGGTCAGGTAGTTGGATGGATTTAGATCACGGACAATGGTTTAGATGTTTTGCTAATACTGGTGAAAACTTATGAAAACAAGCTAAACCCAGTGTAAATCCCAAGCTTGTTCCTGACATGGACTCCAGACTGAGTATCAGTCAGTGATCAATATAATACCTTGCTTTCTGCTGTTGAATGTTCTGCATGCACTTGGTTATGACAGCCCTGTGTACTCCAGCATGGTGTAAGTAAACTGTTAGGTTTGGGTAAAGTTAATTAAAGTGGATCAGTAGTCATGAATCAATTGAACTCTCCTGATAAAAAGATTGGCAGACTGTCACAACTACTGACTAACAGGATGTGAAGTGAATTCTGAGAAAACATGAAAAACAAAAGACCAAAATAGCTAACTGCTAATAAGATAGTGGTGGTACATGTATGTGTTTCAAAGTGTACTGGGCTTAATTAAACAGGCCTTTAATAGGCCCTAAGTTGCACTTCTCACAATGACAGTTTTGAATTTTAAAAAAGGGACTGCATAACTGATAGAGCAGTTTCTTAAAAAGCTCTGCTAGCAAATATCCACTTGACATTTCTGCCCTGCTTTTTCTACAGAATATTGTATCCATTCTTTTATAGGCTGTGGAAAGTATATCTTGCTTCTTAGCAAGTTTTCAACTGAAGAATGAAAAAGTGTTGCGTTTTTCAGGTGAAAAACGCAGCACTTATTCCTCGGTAGTTAGCAAATGCATAATATGAAGTAAACTTGGCAGTAAAACCCCTCTTTTTGGTTTGTTCTATTTAGTAGCTTCACCAGTGAAATTGCCTGATTACTAAAGATTGAAAAGATTACATAAAGCCAGATTACCCTTTTTTACCTCCTTTTATCTCAGTACAGGATTTTCTGTAGAAGGGGCAATGAGTTTGGATAAGAACCACTATTGCTGATGTTGCGTTCCCTTCCAAAATTCTGCTGTCCTTCTCAGGTCTTGTATCCCTTAGAACTTTGTCCACCAGGTAAACGAGCCTCTCCAGTGCTTGATCTCAGGTTGATTTAACTCTTTGCTTCCTGGTGGGAGTGGCAACTCTGTTTCTTCATAAAATGAAACTTTGACATATGGTGCTGCAGGCTGTTAAATAAGGCACCCCTGAAATAAATTTTAAGTTTCTAATAGAAAAAGAGTTTGTTTGGGTTTTTTTCCAAATCATTATTAAAAAGAAAAGAGGAGGTCTTCTGTGAAGCTGTGTGTGTTTCCAAAGATGTGGGCTTTCATTGGCAGTGATGGTAGATGTCAGCATGGTAAGTTGATATGGCTAGGTTAGCAGAAATTATTACTAAGAGTATTTAAATAAAACTATTGTGTATGCATAGCAGTTACACTTTTGTACTTATAAGTATTCACTGCCACTTCTTTTCTAGACAGTACTGTAAATCTTTTAAACTTGGGACTTTTATTGTTGGTGTTACAGGATTTATTTTAAGAAAATTTTAGGTTCACTCAAAATTGTGCTTTCAAAACAATACTTGTTTAATATGAGGGGAATAAAGAGCACATTACTTGGGTTTATTTGCTTAAATGAAATTTTTTGGTCAAGATGGAGAACTTGGGCTATGCCCTGAGGTAAACAAGCATGTAACAGATCTTTATTATTTCAAATGGAAGTATGAAGGACTCTGCCTGAAATTAACCTGTCAAACTCAGCCATAATACATATTTTTAATATCACAGAACAGTGGGGAAAAAGTCTTTATTTCTATATTTGTCAGAATAAGGGGATTTTTTAATGGATATTTTGTTTCAATGCCACAGTCATCTAATTTTTTAAGTTGCTGTACTTGGGGATCTTGAAGTGTAAGTTTCATGACAGAATCATGTTTGAAGTCCCTTGGTAACTTTTTCTTTTTTTTTCCAATAGTGATGAACAGTATCACAACTAAAATATAAACTGAAACATATGCAAATTATGATTATATGATGGCACATTTGGAATAGTTTTGGGGATTTTTTTATTTTTCCATTTCATACCTGGGACATGAATTTTCAAAAAGTGAATGTGGCTGAATGTGGCTCAGTATTTTGATAGTCTGCATGATACAAATTGGACAGTTGAGTCTTGGATTATGCAGCTATGTTTTGTGTATAAATGTATATGAAATTGGGCACTTGTACCTCGCCATGTTGGGTTATACTACCAGATGGGACTTTGAAGACCTGTATTTCATTCCTGGCTGCTCTGCTCTCATCTAGGTGACTTTAGGCAGATGACTTTGCTTACTCGTGTCTCAGTTTCCTCATCTTTAGAACAGAGGTAAGGATGCTTGCTTTTTTAAGAGATAAAAAGTACTGAGTATTTATTATTAGCTGTGGTCAAGTGCCTAAGGACACCATAAAAAGGTACAAGTAACCTAATTAATCTGTTTTGAGGAGGAATTGTAATTGGACTGAACACTCAGCAGTAAGACTGCCTTCAAATAATGTTCAGCTAGAATAGATTAGCTATAAATAATTTTGAATCACTTGTTTCTTCAGAAGAAGAAAATGTCACATTCAAGTGAAAATATCCTGAACTAG